AGTACATCAAGTACTGTGTGCAGCTAGTGTGCAGCTTTTCAGGAACAGTGTATGTTCAGCAGCTTCTCTGCAACTTTGTCTGGTTCAGGCTTTATGTTATCAAGGAAACACAGAGTTAGCTAAATGAAGAAACTGAACTACTTGTGCATGCTGAATCAGCTGGATATCAGCCTCTCGCCAGGCATTAACATGCTTACATTAGTTCATTATCTCCCGTATTCACAGGTGGATGGCAACAATTGCCCTCTGGATACTCATCTATTAATCAGTATGTCTTGCAGTGGCACATAGCACCAACAGAACCATCTACACTCAGTATTCTAATGTTAAACAATCAGCATTAACTGAAAAGCAAAGGTAGGGACAGCACTACAAATGTCTGAAAACAAACTAATACTTAGCACATTGCTTGAAATGCTAGCACAACCTTGAGTTGCATATAGTATGTAAGCCTTTCTTTTAAAACATTAACATGTTTCCAAAATTTGAGTATTCTGTTCAGTCCTGTTTAAGCACTATTATTATGTAGTATATTTTAAATTTGCTGAGGCCGTGGGCCTCATTCATCAGCATTTTCACATCTTGTACACTCCGTTAACTAATATTAAACATTCTCTTTATATGCATTCTTTTACTCATTCTTTTTTATCTTCATATACAGGGCAGTCTTTCTTTTTCTTGTAAGTTTAATATCCTATTCCTCACACTGACATTTTCTTTCATTAAAGTGGAAATTTAGCAATAAAACAGTGTAAAAACATACATACCTGTACTTTTATCTTAAAGATGAAAATTACTATTACAAATCCAGGGGCATATGTTTTACACATTAATTGTTCTTTAACTTGGGATGATTTTGTTGCTAAAGCCTCTTTTTTTTTAGAACTACTATAATTACATTTAGAAAATCTTGAAATTTTAAAATATATTCTCATCATAAACCTGAAACAATAGAGCAAGAACCTTAAAGAACTCTGTTTATAGAATTCCATTCATTTAATGCATTATGATCCTTTTTCTTCATTTAAAAAACATAACAGTTTAAGTCTATAGGGATCCAATCAAAATTCTCATGTCAAATTAGGGTAACTGTTTTCTTTCATTTAGTGTATTACCAAATTTCATTAAAAATTGTAATACAAAATGTTAAAAGATACAAAAACCATTTTATAAGGTATTTCCTACATAACGGCATATTAATATTTGTACGTATTTAACTGTAACCCTTAGCTTCGTGTGAATTGAGAAAGTTTGCCTCACAATGGCCATAGTGTGTAGCCACTCTACTGATGTTTCTGAAAGAAAAATAACCTGAAAGTAATGAGACTTTAATCATTAAGACATTTTATCTAAAAATGCTCCAGAGAAGAGGCTTATCATCTTGTTTCTCTAGTTGTAATTATAAAAGCAATGAAGAAGCAGATTATACAACAAAATCAATTTGCACCTGCAGGGCAATAAACCTGGAGCAGTACATATAAGGTCTGCAACACTGGACTCTTGTTTACAGCAGTCCAATGTAAAGAGAACTCACTTGCTATTGAATTTCACATCACAAGAGCTGGCATATCAAACCTCTCATAACAGATGGCCAAGTGAAACATTTAGCACCACATGCTTCCCTCCTCATCACTGGCAAGGGAATATTATGTCATTTATTTTTTAGAACTTCAGAATCCCGATCTTTTCATCTGAACCAAAGATATAAACAAATGCTGCTCAGGATTAATAAGAAATGTGCTTCTTTTTAAAAAAAATGAAAATTATTTTGAAGGTTTATCACTTCAAGATCTTAATTTTTGTGCAGAATGTGTAATTTGTGTTGGGTCTTAAGCAATGTGGTGTGGTTTTGGGAACAGAAGATGGCAGGTAGGGAAGAATCCACTCAAACCTCAAATAAATAGAAAGCTTTTAACAGGTTTTTTCAATCACTGTCATAAATACTCATCTGTATATTGCCAGGATAGCATAACTGCTCTTCTACCTTTATTTTATAGTTTTTAAATACTCCTTGTTTACATGTACGGATTGAAATAACGGGGGAAAATGAAAAAAGCATGCTAACTTTGAGTCAATATGTTTTCGTTTTATAGCCTGAGTCTAAAAGCTTCACTGAAGACTAAGAATCATGCAGTACTTGGGAATACTGCCCAGCATTCTCTGGCTCAGTATCTGCAGTGTTCTATCATCTCTTAAAATACAGCTGCCATTCGTCACAGATGATTTCACAACATTGAAAGTTTAAAAACACGGCTAATATGAGGAACTAAAAAGTATCATGTTTTGTAAGTTGAGTTCATGACTGTTGCAAGTTTTTTTTAACATTTCTTAAAACTCTGCAGGACCCTTTGCAATTGATGTAAAATTAAAATAAATTATGAATAATTAATTTCAGCTTAAGGTTTCAACTTCCTTAGCTTCATAGCCATTAAAATTTCCTCCCACACCACGTACAATGAGTGGTACAGTATATCTAATTGACTAATAAGTCAAAACCAAATCATAGTTGTTTTTCTTGATTTATATATATGAAAAATGGTCTACTGCAGGCTAATGTAGATTTTGCTGACTGTTAATTTTCTTACTAAATGTCTACGTATGGTTATAAGTAAAGGTTTAGTTTAGAACACCACTTTTACGAAGGGGCTACAATACAAACAATCCTTGGCTGTCTAAATTTACTCCAAAATATCAAGTAGTTTAAATTCAAATCCTCATTCTGAGAAATTGAACCTGTACACCTCATTTCTGGAGCCTTCCTGATCTACAGAAAATGAATGTTCTATGTTCTGTAGAACAGTTCAGCAGTTACACAGTTCACTTCAGAATTACTAAAACACATCAAGATACAGGAATCTATTAACTGAATTTTTAAATAATGAAGACGTTCATTGGGTATGGACCTGCACATTACAAAATGCATCTCAAGAAGGAGAGTATCCTGACCCCCAGCACACTGAACCCCCGATATAAAGTAAGTATGATCGCACCTCTTAGTGCACTGTTGGCTGGGCAGGATGGCATCTGGCAGTGTAACTTTGCTCCTGTCCAGAGGTCCGAGGTTGTGTGTTGTGTGATTCACTGCCTTGTTAGCAAAAAGCACATCATACTCCACACAGTTGAATAGAAAAGTGGTAAAGGTGACCACAAACAAGAACTGTCTGTAAAGAGAAAATGACATTGAAAACAAGCAGAAAGAAAAATTAATAGTTTATGAAGTTTTTGAGTTTTTGAAACCCCAATTAAACACAAGCAGACTAGAAAACTGCTTGTTTGATCTTACCAATTTCATGACTACAAAATGGCTACTTCAACCCAAAACCAAACAAAGTGAGAATTTAAGTGATGAATGTGATTAGTACAGTATATGGGGGAAAGCCACCAACCACACATTCCATCTTGATGAGTCAGTGCTACAGTATCAAATGAAAGAACAGTTTGCAAAAGGACTATGAGGTAGGCACATTAGCACTGCATAAAAAAAATCATACTTGTAGGACATCAGGAAGACAAGCTCCAGCCATGCTTAAATCTGATTAAGATTCCCTTTGATTCAATGACTGCTTATGGGAAGTATGTAATTAGTTCTGGTGATTTATATCCAGGTGGTAAAGTAATCACATCTCAAACCACAATCATCACTGGAACAGCTTGTGAGTAGATGCTGGAGAGAAATATGATTCAGCTTTTAAGATTTAATGATTCATCTGGTAAGGATAACAGTGGTCCCTACTGGGATTGGTCATTAAATCTCAACAGTAATTAATTGCCAGTATCACTAAATTTGACAAAATCCGAATCAAGCACAAAATCGTACTGGATAGTTGCCATGTTGTCGAAACACCCTGGTTTCACCACACACAAGAGCGAGAGTTTGTAATGTAATGACTAATGTAATGAGATGTACTGTACAAGCGAATAATACAGAAATGTTCCAACGTGATCTACGTGTAGAGTTTACAAGTAAGTAGTATTCACTTCATGTCAATGGAAGTTTTATTGCCTCGTTCTGAATTGCAAAAAATGGCACTGCTCATACCTGGAAATTTTGTGATGTAAACTGGAGGTTTTACATGTTACTATGTACATTTTACTTTAATTGTGGTTTGAAATGCACTCATCAATGCTGATTCTTTCAAACTCCTAAGCATAAAATAGCATTGAAGTTTCCCTTTAAAGCAGCCAATTGATCTTAGCACATGCAGATATTTTACTGATTTGTCTGAACATGGCTTCAATATAAAAACCTTAGAAAGCGGCAATATCACCCCACAAAAATCTTGAAATTACAGCATACTTCTTATTGACCATTTAACCTACAGTAGTAAAGGCATTAGCAATCAGTAAAAAAATACTTACACCAGTTCAAAAAACTCAGTCAACATCATACAGGCAAAGCCATTCTTCTGGTGAAAGTGATAGATGTGGAGAGGAATGTTAAAGAAATATGATACCCTTCTTATAAAGTGCAAAATTCAAACCTACAACGATAAATAACATAACATGTACTTTTAGAAGACTGATATACAGGGAATTTGCATGTTCTCTATACGAGGTACAATATCCTTTGAAATATATCAAAGAATGCACAGAATCCATATGCTTAACTTTACATACTGTCTTCCACTGTAATCAAAGTATAAAAGAATGGTGTCAGATGAAGTCAACCACAACTTTCCCCTGAAATCATCTGTTGCAACTTTATGCTAAACTTCCTGGGTGAGTGTGTTAACTGCAATGCTGCTTTACTGTCTTAGTGTTGTGGGTTAGTGCATTTCCCAGGAATAAAAGTTTTAAAACAGCCTTAAATTTGATTTACAACAAAATTTGATCAGAGCCTTGTGGTTGAAATATATCCCCATTCTGTATCATAAAAAGTACAAACTGTCTCATTCTTCACCATTACATATTACTGTACAGTATATCATTGTAATATATGACTGCAATTACTTCAAAAAAGGCTTTTGCTAAGCAAAACATGAGAATAATAATACTATTTATACTATAAACATTTTTTTTAAAGTTTACATATCTTATTAAAGAAAGAAGCAACTTTAAAAAATAGGTTAGTATTTTGCATATGGGTGACATTAATTGGTGTCTAATTTGGCCCTTGGGTGCATGTGTTTACACTGCCCAGGGTGCTGTACCATCTTGTGCCTCACATTTCTGTGATAGGCTTCATGTTGCAATGGCCCTTACTAGGAATAACAGGCTTTCTGTTTGCAAACTGTTTTTGCATACCTAAAACATAAGAGAAGAGCAGTTCACTTTCAAAACGAGCATAGTTTATTACTTCTACATTTAAAAACATACGAAACAGGTTTGCTCAGTTGTTTCCAAATGGCACACACTGGTTTCAAATTTGAGAAATGTACAGTATGTAGGAATTATGTAAAGGGTCACCTACCATCAGTACCAAATGCGTGCCGTTTATCTCCAATTCTGTGTTCCTATCTCATTCCTGATCCTAAAGTAGTTCATGGGTTTGACTTAGCAATATTCTTTACACAATATTCTTAAATGCATTGTATAATTTTGACATTAGTTCCTTAAAGGTAATACATATATACAATATATATAAAATATATTGTAGCATTTTGTTTTTTAACACTTTACTACAACAGGGGAGAAATGCAAATGCCTATACTTTTCATAGGCTACTTCCCCAAGTTCAATGACTTCAATGTCTTAAATTACAATTAACCCAGAACAAAATAAATCCCATACTGTAATTACAGTGACATTTTGGGAACATGCAGCACATCACATGTCACTGAACCACAAAGTCCTGGGACTGATACAGATTATGTGACTGTTTAAGCATTTCCAACATTTTAAAGAGCCTTTTCTATTAACTGACCTTAATCTGGACAGTTCATTTTCTAACAAGCAACTGAAATCTCATTCTCTTGAAAGTTCCTGAAACTTCCATTTCCTATCTTGCAAAAAAACACACACGCTAACAAAAGCATCCAAACAGCACTGCTACAGAGAATTGTCAATACAGTTTATGTAAATACTATATAAAGGATATTCTTGTAAAGAAGTTATCTAGGTTCTTGATATGATGCCATGAATCTGTAGAAATATAAAAAAGACATTTTAGAAATCCCTTTAAAATGTATCTAATACTATGCTAGTTGTGCATTCCATCACAGAGTAGTCTTTACAGAGTAATATCCCATTGGTTCTATATACTGTACTGTACATCTGCTTTCTCACCTTCACAGTCAAAACATTCAATTAATATTTTAACAATGCATTAGTATATATTAAGTTTAAAAATACTGTAATGGCAATGTAAAATCCACACTAGGATCTTAACATGTTGGATTTAGTGTTTCAACAACAGTATAATGTTCAGAGGCATTCACTTTGTAGGTTTAACTAAACATCAACTTACTGATGTTTGTAGAAGCTATTTTTGCTAAAGAAAAAAAAAACTTCAGCAGAAAACAATCGATGAAAAATCTCAGAAAATCAAATGAAAGACACAGCCCACAATCTAAAATGTAATCTACAACTAGCAAATGCTCATTGCAAAATTCTGTCCACTATTGCTCAATAACTGCAGAACATTATTAATCAATCATATTTATGCACCCTGAGTAGATCACTGCCACATAAGTAATGTGGACAAGCATTATTTGTAGAAAATTGTTCTTAACATATTGCTTAATGAAAATGTGCTTTTTACATTTTCATTAAACTAATTCCATATGCTGAAAACAGAAAGGGCCTCTCTGAGCTAGAATGAGTGATGGTCTTTTCCAGGGCCCTAAAGATCTGCAAATTCCCACAACAATTAGTCACAAACATTACAATTCTATAAGGGAAAGTTGTAATACATTGTACAGTAAAGTGATAAACATATTAAAATGCTAATTGTCATACTAAAAAGTATGAGAGGTAACAGAGTTTTATTTTATCAGAGCTCTACGGTACCTTTCAAGCCTTCTGGTACATGTACTAGTAAGTCCTCTTCCCCGGGCGGCGAGTCTTCCTCAAAGTCCTCTATCCGCTGGTACTCCTGATATGCTTCAAAATTAGCCATTGTGCTTCACATTCTCCCTGGCACACTCCCCAGACTCCTGTCAGCAAAAACACAGCACCACGAGCAATGAAGAGATAATTAAAAAGACACTGACAGTTGATGGAGACATTCACAAAGTCAATACAGAAGGTTTCCTCAGAATAAAGACTGAAGCTCGAACAAGAGGATACAAGTGTAGACTATATGTAAGCACATTTAAAACCAATAATAGGAGGCAATTCTTTACTCAAAGGGTTGTAGGAGCTTGGAACAAGCTATACAGCAATGTTGTTGAAGCCAATTATCTACCTTCTTTCAAGAAATGGATAGATGAGATCCTACTACCAGAGACAGGCCTATTAGCACCCTCTCATTTGTAATGATTTTTATGTTTTTAATAATCAGTCAATATCACAATGACTAACATAGGACAGTATGATTATAACAAGATGTGCCTCTGTCTTTTTTCTAGTCTATGTGAGCCATATACTAGAATATTTTATTTTAATGGATGCTGTCTTATTAAGCACACAGCACAGGATTCCAAATACTGAGGATATGGAATAGCACAGATTCAGCAATATCGCTAATTAAATGGTGTTCATCTACTGTAAGAGTGTAACTACTGTGAAATACATCTGCTTTACAAAATTGCTTATAATTGCTTATATGAAGCAATTTTGCATTGTCTTTCAGATATGAATATAAAAGGGAGACAACATTCAAAGCAAAAAATAATGCTTAATATTAGATAATGCTAGAATATTGTAATCTGACTTATTATGATAGGCTATTTCCCATCTTTTTTCATGTCTCTTGTGAATTCCTAAGTGTTAGACATTCTGCTTTTATATGCCATTGTCAACTGTAATAAATTCACCCCTACCAATCTGCTTTTAATTTACAATACTGTACTGCTTTTTGGTTAGGGCTGTCACTGGTTATAATGACAAAATGTTGAAAGAGAGTACGTGACAGAATCTTAAATTCACAACAGATGTCCTTCAGGTCTTTTTACTAACACAGAACATTTCAGAATTATTCCATAGCAAAAGAGAAAGAGAGAGTTCAACAGGCAATGATTAAGAAGAGTTAGCACAGCCATTTTCAAGACATGTCACCTCAAGCCACCTGCAATAAATCAAGAGACAGGTACAGTATATACAAATTAACACAATAAACAAAACAAAATCAAAAGTAAGATTTAAGAGGTTTTGAAAGTGCTGACTGACTTGAATCTAATATGGACTCTGAAAATAATCTCTCCCAGGGTTTCAAGCTTTGGGAACTGAAAGAAGGCCAAAGAGTTCAAAGAATGTTAAAGAGCTAATGGTGTAGGAGGTCACTGTCAAGTCAAATGGGTCAAACCATTCAATTTACCATTCAAGTAAAACCATGAATTTTACTATGAAATCCAAAGGGAGCCAGTAGAAAAAAAAATGAAAATAGCAAATGCATTAGTGTGCCTTTTAGTTTCAGTTAAAATCTTTGAAGCTGGGTTTTCAAATTTGCAATTTAAGAACATGTGGATCTACCAACAACCATTTCTTTGCAAATAAAAACCTGGAAAAGACAAAAAACGTGCATCAGTTTTCCTGCATTACATTAGGAAAGATATTAACAGCTACAAGCATAGCTGTTAATATGCTTACTGATATTAACAGTTACAGAGCTGGAATAAAGACACATTCACATCACTGCTAACATGAGGTTCAGATCAAGGCTCAGATCAAAGATGGCACCAAGATTTTTTTGACCTGAGAAACTGGACTGATTACAAGACCATCAGACTACGGTCGAGACAGTTAGAAGAGCTGATTAGAAGATTCAGTCAGCCTAATTTCAGTCTTACCTTAAATTTCAGTTTGTAACTTCAGTCTTGTCAGATACTGTATGTCACTACAATCGTTCCATTAATTTTTAAAACATCACTGAAGCAGTGTGACAAGACATAAAAGTGAACCTAAATTTTAGTGTCATCTGTATAGAAATTAAAGGGGGAAATGTAACGCTATTTTTACATTTTGGTGTTACAGAAAGAATCAGTATTTTAAACCTTAATGAAATGACGAGACCAGGGTTTTTCAACAACAATGGTGAACATACAGTACTTTCATACATAAAGTACATAAAGTTCACGATTGTATGTGTAATTCCCAATTTTTAATTTTTTTATAGTGTCAATGAAATCATTTTGTTAATTTTCTTTAAGATAAATAACTGGTCTGAGACACTGGAACTGCAAGTTCCCTCTAAAACTGATCCCATTCCAAAGAAGAATATGACCAACGATAAGGTTTAATGTTACAGGCATTTATACCATAATAGATAATTGTACAGCCCATGACTGTTCTAAACACCAGTACAGACAAAGAAGATCTTTGAGAGAGTCGTGGTACAGTAGGCCACATACTGTACGCTGAACCTAAGCCCATCTTTGAGTGGGAGGTACAGTACAAGTATGTGAACACTTATGTAGTAATGTACACTTATGCCCTAATGTAGTAATTAAATAGCAACCTAAGATGTAAATGGCCAGTTTAGAAAACCAGTTCAGGATGTCAAAGGTGGCACCAAGGAAAGAGGAGTAAAGAGAGGGTTATGACCTGAGCAAAGAATGGGAGAATTGTTTTTCTTTTGCAGCAAACTGTCCATTCTGTGAAAATGAAAGGAGTTCAAGCATTGTTGTATTTTGTGAGTTATTTCTGATTTTTTTCTGTATGCACTGTATTGTATTTTTAAGATTTTATAATTATAAGGTGCTTTTACTTATTTATAATATTTTGACTTGAATTTATATCCTCCTCGAGAGCTCAGAAAGAGTAACATGCATCTTTGATAAACAGATTTCTCTAATAAACTATATGCTTTGATTCAGCTTTGAACTAAATTCAGCAAAGACCATAGACACTGGAAATGCCCCATACTAATTTTGTTCTGAAATCAATTTTCCACTTCACAGAGCTTCCTGCAGCAGGAAGGCGGACATGTTGCAAATGTCTTTCAAGGATTCAGTTCATATCTTCAGTCTCTTTGTGCACAATGCACAAAGACCAGAGAATGAGCTCTCTCTCACTTCTACACTAAAGCAAATTTGATAAACCTGTGTTTAGAACAGGTGTGAAGCAATTGGGAAGGAGCAGGCATAGCAGGAAGCACTATAATCTTTGAGAAGGAACCAGTTCAACATAAATAGGGTACAGTGCTTGTCTGCTCTGGGTAAAACTGTCACGTTTCTGGAAGAAGAGTCTGCTTATAATGAATTTACAATTTACCAAGGTGCCATGTAGTCGGGCTCTGTCTGCTGGAAGAAACAGGATAAAATGTGAGAGTTTAACATCTACAGCACTGCAGCAACACACAATGAATAGGAAACGGAAACTTTTGATCAAATACCAAGATGTTTCTGGAGCACCTGCAAGAGAACCCAGTCAGCATCACAGAGGCTAAACACATCAAGACAGCATCTCACAGTACAAGCTTGAACAGTCTGTATTAAAACTGTAACTAGACAATAACAGGTTCAAAGATGTACATGGCCTATAGAAAGTTTACACGCCCTTTCCAAAGTAACACATTTTGTCACCTATCAGCCTGAAATAAACAAACAACCCATTAAATCAGAATTGATCTTTTTTGTCCACATTGCAAAACTACCTCCAAGTGAATAACAATTACTCAGATTAATAAACATGAAAACCTAGAAACAAAATCATAGCAGTTGTAAATTAGCTGTAGTGTAATCAATTGCCTTCCAAATTACAAGACAAGCTAGCCTCCACCTGTGTTGAACTGTAGTGATTTATTCTGATGATCATCTGTTTCTGTAGGTCTCCTCCATTGGGTAGTGCATCTCAACATTAAGAGTCAACTATGGGCAGCAAAGGGGTTTGTAGACTTTCTATAGGCACTGTAAATCTGAAAACTCTGTTCAGGTTCGCCAAGTATAAAATCACAGAGAAGACATGCTCACTGGAATGTAAATAGTTGAATTCCAAACAGTTATTTTTTGCTGTTTACACACTGGAGCATTGACAAACTGCCAATCCATCTGCACTACAAATTAACAAAAAATATAATCTCCCATAATTGAGGTTTAAGTGAGATTATGTAAGAGGCTCCAAAAAGCTGTTTTAATAATGATAATAATGTTATTTACTTGGTTTTTACTGTCTCCTTGTTGTTACCGGTCAGATTGACATTTAAGATTTAAACATACAGTACACCACTTCAGCAAAAATGTACATTCAAGTTTCTTTAAGGCTGATTGCAGGTGCTCCAATAAATTAGACGAGGAAATAGTGCTGTTCAGGCTTCAATATAAAATGAATTTCATTTTCCTTCAATTTTTAAATTCCCTGAAATATATTTTGAAAATTTTCCAGCAGCAATTTTACTACAATAACTGGTAATAATTTTAAATAACCTATCCAAACAGGAATAATGAGTAATCTATGGCAATTAATATACAGAATACAACAAAGAAGCTCAGATTCATATACAAAAATACTGAATAAAATGTTTGGCAGATGATTTACTCATTGGTACACTAAGTTACCATACTTATGATGCAATTTCAGAACACATGTTTGTAACCATATCACATTATGGGCTGAGAGCACATACTGGGGGAGGGGAAAATGACTGCTGCAAAAATAAAAAAAACACTGTTCAAAGCCACTTTAGTGGGAATCCACTACGTGCAATGTCACAGTCTTATGTACAAGAAAATGAGCACGTAGACATTTGTTTTTTCATTTGCACCTTCATTGACTAAAACAGCAAGTTAAATGTTCACAAGGAATTATTATGATGTAGCTAATGGACTGCAGCTTGAAAACTGCCTCGTACTTTTGATTAAAGTGTTCATTTTAAAACATATTTAATAACTCTATTTAAATGATCTATTTGACTACTGCAGCCCTTTGCATATAAAAGTACTCTCTTTTCTCAGTTTAAAAATGTACTTCATTTAATATTTCACTCTGGATTCTGAAAAAGTCCTCTGGGTTGAGAACTCTCAATATTTGAATTAGGCCTCCTCATAGTCTCCTACGACTAAACTTTTTTCGTTCTGTCAGCCTATCATAGGTAGGACAATCCTTTAAGCCTTGAAGTGTATCTGGCCACTATTTTTCAAATGGAGTCTGGTAAAGCAACATCTTTTTTTGGAATAAAATGACCAAAATAATACATAATATCCCAAATTAGGTCCTAATTTTGATTGTGCAATTTAAACTTGATATAAATGCTACACTTTTGACTATATATCCTGACATTCTGTTTACATGTTCAGCATTTTCTGCTTCCTCACATTACCTAGAGGTAGCCGATTGCAACACAGACACCTCAGTCATTTTCATATACTGTATAGCTACTTCTATCTTAATATTTCCCATCTTACAGTTTCTGTTCTTGCTGCCTGTATGTAACACACAACACTTGTCTACATTAAATGACATATGCTAGTTATGATCTACTTAAAAAATGAGATGTAGATTCAAGTTTTAGTCCTTGGTTTGGTCTCTCATGTCCCCTCCATCCCTAAAGATGAACAAATGTGTTTTGTTTTCTGCAGATTTATACCCTAGTGGATCATAAAGTATAGCGGCATGAGACATACTGTATTTGAACTAATGTCTTCTACATAAAAAGGACTACTTTTTTTAATATGCCAACTGACATTCATGTTGTGGATTAAATGAGAAGATGCCAATAGACTTTTTTCAAAATGGGACTGTTTTAGAAACAATTTAGGGATTTATTACAACAACTTCTATGTTGTGATTGGTCTAAAAAGCTTTAGAATATTTATATGGTGCCTTTGATGGTACATCATCTCAAACACTTGAAGTATAAAACAATTAAATAAAAGTGGCAAGTATTCACACATTAAAGCAGTAAATTAAACAGAGTTGAAAAACTGGAGTATAAAAGTGAGCTATATATCAGGATCCAAAATGGGCTCACAGTCATGGAGCACAAGAACAGAAAACCCAGTCCCCTAGACCCCTAGTGTCTGGAGCCTCACATTAACAGAAAGAAGGTTGGAGTCTGAAGAGCATCAACAATCTGTAGGGTTATAGGGGTTTAACAGATCACTCATGTAGCCAGAAGCCAGTCAAATCCAGCTCTTAAAGGTGAGCAGCAGTGTTCTGACCCGTCTTTTGAAATTCACAGGGAGGAAGTGCAGGAATGATAAAACAGGCAATATATTCAAATGTTTTTTCGCTAAATCCAATTTAAAAGGCATTAACATTATTTCAAAAACATTAAAACCAAACCACTTAACATCTTAGGAAAAAAGTCACAGAAAAAAGGGTAAACCGATATACAGTATGTACTGAAGCTTTGGTCCTCAAATGCCACCGCGTTCATGCTGCATCTTAAGGACATGTAGAGATAACAAAGGAACACATCCGACTTGAATCGTGATTAGATGCATTTGTATTATTTTATTTATTGTTGGGATCTTAAGATGTGCCTGTCTGCTGTAGCCAGACGAGGCTCAGTTTAAAATCACAGGCTGAATTCTGAAGTACAATTATTTCGTAACTTGCCATCTGTGCATACATGTACTCATCCTGTGATGTGTTTGCGTCATCTCGTATTTAAGGACAAAAACAAACCCACTGGAAGACAAAGAAAGATCACTGCTTTAGATTTTCCACTTGCTTAAACCCTTAATCACAATTAGCATTGCTGATTCGCTTTAATTACACTTGTACTAACGCGGCAATAAGGGAAGCTTGTTGTACAGCGGCCAGTTGGTAAAAAAAAAACTTTGCGAATAAACGGGTAATGAAATCGTCTATCGCGATTCGTTAAAGCAACAGAATTTCGTCTTCGACTGTAAATGCAGTCAGACGGTTACAGCGTGTTACTTTGTTAAGCAAACAGCTTTAACTAAGTTAAACGGCACTGTAATTTTGTTTCTCAGAATTGACAACAGACCTGTCGATCTCATGGGCACAACAGGAACAGCATGTGCTGGTTTTCTTACCTCTCTGACGCTGCTGCTTCTGCCTTTGAAGTTGCAGTTTGTTATAGGTCCTCGCTCATTCCTTTCCTTCCGACACGTTAGTGTGCTCTTGCTAAAAACAGTTGTGTACAATGCGGGATAAGAATGTACTGTCACTTCAGTTTTGAATCACCAAGACAAAGATTTTAGAACCACTTTCTGCTGCAACACAAATGTCAACAAAACATCATCTGACGTCACTCGGCCGTTATAGGGACGTCACTCATTCAACCTTTGAACCAATCAAACAGATGGCCTCTTTCATTCTCATTAAAGGCATAAGGAATAACAAAAATGATTTTTAAAAGCAATAGTAAAATGTTAATATTACAGGGGGAAATGTTTAAAATACTACTGTATATAAAGCTGCCTTTATTAACATTATTGTACATTTTAATTTTCATAGGCAATAAAATGTATGATAATGTAACAGTCATCTATGAAAAATAACGATGTTAGAAAACAAAACTCATACATTTGCAGATGACAAATGGAATTATGGGTAAAGTAAGATGTCTGCTCCCTTATACAGGAAGATCTAAATGAATAAGGGTTTTGCTTCAAATTTATAAAGCTTGAATACAGAATAATTGAAAGATGTTTTACCTTTTAGTAAACAACAATGTTAGTAGCAGGACAGCTGTTCCTCTGCGTACTTTCTATTTTCGATTCAACAAAACGAGATATTTAAGGAGCTACAATAGGTAAGCAAAAGGGAATTTGGTTTCTTCGCAGCGTATCTTGGGAACTGGTGTTTTTTATTGATTCTGTCAAGGTTTGGGCACCAACAGAGTCAAAAGAAAGGACTACAACTCCCAAAGACACTTGCCTCAATTACAAGCATGTACGGTACATTGGGAAATGTTTGCCACTTTTCTAAACGGTGTTTTGTGTTTTATTTTTAATGTTTGCTTGAAGGTTTCATTCTTTTTAATTAAAAAACAAAATTTCAAATTTAACTCTAACTCAAATATGCCACCGTTCTCAATAAGGAAACGGTGCCTCCAATTTATCCCCAGTTGTGTTTTTAATTGTGTATTTGTACTTGTTATTCTGAAGTTATAAAAGCAGTGTGTTATTATAGCAGTGTGTCACCTGATGGAGAGATAAAAACAAGTAATTGCAGCCTGTAACATGTAGCGTTATGAATTTACAACAGCACCGCGATGTTCCCTTATAGTGTATGCGTTTATGATTCTTGTAATTATTCATAAATTAAATAAAAACGTAATTTAAAGGATCCTGAAAATTTCAAGTGTGTGGAATCCAACTGCATAGCAGTCTCTTAAAGTTTATTTTATATTTTTTGTCCCAATTTAGTTACGGCACAGTTTGGACTCAACATCCCAGTCGAAGTAACTGTAAATTATGCCCCTGCAATACCTTGGTCCGCTTCTGGCATCAGGCTCGGAGAGCCTTCAGAAAAGCAGCTGAACAAAAGCTGAGAGCTCCCAAGACTCACCAGGCTCTGGGCTTTGTGGTGGGTCCAGCAGTCCTCACCATCTCAGCGAGGCTGTACAGCTGTGTTGCCTACTGTCAAGTGGACCTCAATAATAATGAGTTGTCACAGCCAACACACCCTCACGAAACTGAACCAGAGTTCAGCTGGACAGTGCTTTGGAAGTTTCTTAGGCCCCAGCTGTTGGCACTTTTGGGTGCAGTTGTTGTAAGTATGAACCCAAAAAAGCTGTCTTCTTAGAAGTGAAGTAGTTTTAATTAAGTTGTTAATTTCTACAGTTAATACTTCCTGAGTATTGTCTTCTTCTTTCAGAGATGTAAAAGAAGTGGAGGGTTTCATTACTTGTTTTTTGCTATATATTGCATACAGTTGATGATGACAAGTTGATAGTTTAAACAAACTGTACATTGACCTCAGTGATAAAATGTACTCTACATGCCCATGTTACCATTTGGGTATTTAATTATTGGTTGTTAATTAGTTTTGCAGAGATGACAACACTGATATAAATGGATCAGAAGTGTTTTTTCACTTGATGCAATTAACTCATTGAATAGACTTGCGGTAATGAAGTAATACTGAAGCTTGTTATTGTCAAGTTTGTGTGTTTCTTTCTAGTTGGCATTTGGTGCAGCAATCTTGAATATTCAGATCCCCCTGATGCTTGGAGATTTGGTGAATGTGGTGGCCAGGTATATGAGAGACCACATCGGGAACTATCTTAATGAAGTGAAGCGTCCTGCCATAAAACTGCTGGGACTTTATGGCCTTCAGGTAAGCTGTCTAATTGTGTTTGGCAGTAGAACTGGTTGTGCTGTAGTTTGTGTGAAAAATATTTATATATTTTTGTTTTTGTATGTGTGAAAAATATTATATATTATATAATGGATGTTTTAGTGTTTGGTGTTAGTGTAATAGTGTACTGTAATACTGTCTTCAGAAATAGCTGCAGCCTCTGGCAGTTACTGCAGTATTTGACTCAGATTTTACACATCAAGATCTAGGAAGATTACATATTACATCCACTACAAATTAAAATAACTGACAAATGTGGATCTTTTTGCTTATGTTTAAAGACATGCAGAGTTTAAGCCTTTCCTTAAGCACAGCTGTTTTTTTCTCTCTATTGTACAGTAAGATCTTACCATTAAAAAATGTTTGGTGCAGAGAGCCATCACAAATAGCCACATTTCATCTAACAAGTTCCACCCCTATACCATTGCCTAATTTACTATAGTATATAGTCTGTATGGTAAAATATATAAGTAGCCCTCCTTTATATGATAATTAAAGTACCATATGCATTAAAAGTTAAATAACCCTGATTAACTAAAATAAACTAAATGTTACATTTTCACATCCCTGGTTTTGCTTGGTTGTAATACACATAGACCGCGTATGACTTTCTAGTGTGATCTTAACTTGGCACATTAGTTGGTGGATTATTGATCCATGCATGTTATCCAGATTTTTTAATGTAATATAGCTCTGTAGCTTGATCCATACGCCTACAAAGTACTGGGTAAAGAAGTGCCTCATGTTTTTTAGTTTTAAATGCTCTTCCACATAGTTTCCACGTGTGTCCTTGTATCAGGTGCAAATGGGATATATAATACAGTACAATACAATACAATAACTCAAAACCTCTTTTGAGAGTCAGACTGATCAGACTAGAAGAACCACTGGATCTAGGTTTCCAAAAAATAATTGATTAGCTCATAATGAGAGACTTTTTAGTTTATCTCTCAATCGTAGTGGTAGAATTCAGAATTCTTCTCATGTTTCCAGGGGCTGCTGACCTGCGGGTACATCGTTCTACTGTCCAGGGTGGGGGAACATGTTGCTGCGGACATGAGAAAGACTCTGTTTTTGTCTCTGCTTAGGTAGGATTGTAGCCAGACTTAAACTAGCCTTGAAAGTTCCTTAGTGGTTACTGAAGAGATCTTTCAAGAAATGCTCCTTTAGTTTCATTTCTTTCAAACTGTTTCAAGCTTAGTTAACTAGTCATACAGTACATACCTGTAGTTTCTCTTGTGTTTCTTCTCTGTAGGTTAGCAAAATGGTTGTCATGTTTATAGCATAATTACATTGTAAGTTAGGATTACATTGCCTGTTGTGTTCTGAACTGCTGTTGTTAACATGTGAGCTGTCTTAAGTTGCTTGCTACTGTAATACAGCTTCATAACAACACATCACTAAACCTATTCTGATACTATTGATTGGGCTATAGTTTATAGTTTAACTTTCTGGAGGAAGACATCCAATTTGTTAAGTCATCTGGTATTATAAGTTGAGGAATCATTTCTGTTTCTGAGTTACATTTAGTTTATACTGGTACATAGCAGCCTACTTGTCCACAGACAAGTGATGATTGAGGAAGGGTAGATTACCAATTCTCATACTGTATATACTGTACATGAAAAATACTCATCAAGCTTGTGAAACAGGTGGAGCAAGTCTTGTATGTGCTTCAATAACTCTGAAACTGTTTTGCACTAATGTTAACAATTCTCAAGCAAGTAATGTAAATTGCTAACCCCACCTGTTATAATCTTTATAAAAGTGGAATACGTAGCATACCAACATTATTTACATAATTTACTGTACAATATCTCTCTGTATCCATAGTGTCTTTATACAGTTTTAAGTCTTAGTAGTTCATTTTATTTGCATGGCACTCACATGTCAGTGTGTGCTAGGCTCCTTGATATATATATATATTTTAACTTATTTAACTTATATACTTTTTTTCTCTTCATTATCATTACTTGTTCTAACGCTTATTATGATGATGATGATGTTATCCGGTCAGTCGGATCCGACTCTCTGCGATTCTACGGGCCATCTCTCGCCACGCTTTCCGGTCTTGGACTTTCTCTTTCAGCTCTTCTATGCCTAAGCCAGTGTCTATTTTGATAGCGTCAAGCCACCGCGTTCTTTGGCAGCCTCGTCTTCTTGTTCCACTGACCATTGCAAGCATCATTGCTTTCTCCAATGAATCTGATCGCATCATGTGACCAAAATAAGTGACCCGGAGTCTGGTGAACTTTCCCTCAAGCGAAACTTCTGGCTTGATGCACTCCAGAACCTCTTTATTGGTGACCCTAACTGTCCATGGTATCCGTAACAGTCTTCTCCAGCACCATAGCTTGAAAGCTTATTATACATCTCCTATATTTTATGCCGCATGGATAAGAGCACCACCTAAGGAAATAATAATGTAACTGGAATCACAGAAACATACTGTAGATAATAGAGAGTAATAATACAATATTAAACATCTTAGAGACACAGAAATATGGAAGAGTACTTCCATATTCCTGTTGTAAAATTCAGTAATTACTCCTGCAAACAAAATTACAAAAATACAAAAATAATAATCATAAAATTCCAAACTTAGTAAATTCTTATGTGAAGTTGCTAGTCTAACATTTTCATTAACTATTCATTTTTCTTCTTTTTTTTTAGACAAGATGTAGCATTCTTTGATGCCAACAAGACAGGGCAGCTGGTAAACCGTTTGACTTCTGATATCCAGGAGTTTAAGTCTTCATTTAAACTAGTCATCTCACAGGTATGGTGAATAGCACATCTCCCCCTTTTTGCAAACGTAAAAAACGCAGTGGTACAGCAGCTGTTATTTGCCACATTTACATTGCCTGATTTCACAGATCACAAAGAGAAGTGTGAGAAATTCCTTCACCTGTTTAACGAATGGAGAACTTTAGGTAGGTCAGACTGTGCTAACATATATTGGAGTTTTGCCAAGATACCAGGGATACACCTACTGTATTCTCCTCTGATGACCAAAAAGTCAGCACCTTTTTATAACTTCTCAATTAAAGGATTGTGCCTTCTACGGACTTATGCCACTAGTCACACACTAGGGCATGTTTTTTTACTGTAAATTCTGGTTCAGGGGGAAGATTGCCATCTTTTCATCCACCAACTCAACTTAGAGCAGCAACCTTGTTTTTTTTGGGGGGGCCTTAACATCTGAGGTCTGACAAGATCAGGTAGTAATGTTAATTTAATTGACCAGGTTATGTCATATATGAAAATATGCTAAAACAGCACTTGGGATCACGATAGTGATATAGCAGTTATTTTAATACTCATAACTATGTGAATAAACTTCAGCATAAAATGAGGAGTAATTAAGGTATATTACTCATTAATATAGGTAGAAATTTTAGCTGCTGACAAGAATGGCCAAACCAATTCCACAGTATGCTGATTGGAGACACTGTTCAAGCTACCATCCTTTAGATGAGATCAAGTGGAGTTTACATTTCTAAAATATATGGTTGTATTGTCTGGCCCTGCTATTTCTCTGGCTGGTGTTCTTCATCTGCAGCTGTGTAATGGCTACATTTCTGAGATGAATGGTTTGAGTCTCCTTCTATGTGTAATGTGCTTTGTGATCCATCCATTCATCCGTGCATTTTCGAACTGCTTCCAGTTCAGGGTCACGGGGGAGGGGACAGGACACCAGTCCATCACAGGACAGACACACAGACACACACTCACAGCAGGGCCAGTTTTACCAGAAGCCATTTAACCTAGCAGTTTGTCTTTTGTCTGTGAGAGGAAACTGGAGCACCTGGATGAAGTCCACATGAACATAGGGAGAACATACAGACTTTCTTGCAGATAGCACCCCAGAAAATGAACCCGGAGCCCCTGTGCTGCGAGGCAGCAATGCCAACCACTGTGACCCTGTAATAATGGATTTGTGATCTGTTGGAATGAAAAGTGCTATAGAAATGTAAATATTTTTTTAGCAGTAATAATTTGGCTACTCACTAGTTTTTTCAACTAAGGTAGCTATTTTTATCACAAAACTGTAAAAGAATTATTTATTTAAAAAGTATTGACTCTTATTAGAAATTATGATTATGGTTTAACTCACACCTGTCCTTAAGCCTTGGACATTTCCCATGTGCTTAGAAGCCTCTTTCCTCTAAATCCAGTGTTGTTGTGATTCTGCAGGGTTTGCGCAGTACCACACAGACAGCGGGTTGCTTTGTGTCCCTCTACCTGATCTCCCCCAAACTCACAGGCCTAACCCTAGTAGTAATGCCGTGCCTGGTGGGGGCTGGGGCTCTCATTGGATCATTCCTGCGACGGCTATCCAGAAAAGCTCAGGATCAGGTAAACAGGGACAAATTATTGGTATTATTATTAAGCCTAATTTTACATATAAAAATTTTGTAAAATTTTGTAAAATGTAAAATGATACTATGGCCAGTATTGGCAGTTTAAGTCCTTGAACACTAATCCAGCATCACTAATGGGGTGATTTAAATTGTGCTTAAATCATCACATTAGTAGATGAATGTTTTAAGCCAAGAATGGCCAACATTAAATCTAAAGCTGCTTATTATTTTAATTTTAAAATGGTCCTTTTAAGTACTTAATTTAACAATACCCTTATTTAGTGGTCGAAATGAAATAAATCAAAGCTATGAAACTGTGACTCTTCAGGACAAAATCTGGCCACTCCTGTACATTGTTATTGGTGTCTGAGTTAGTACACTCCTCCACTTCTGTCTTATCATCCATTAAGAATTAATTGACTGCCAACAAATATGTTGTGTATATATAAGTGTGGAGTATGGAGTATGTGCTGTTTGTTATTGCTTTGTTATTTAGTGTTTCCCTCTGGATATGCGTTTTCCACAGGTTGCCAGAGCTACAGGAGTGGCAGATGAGGCCTTGGGCAATGTTCGCACAGTGAGAGCCTTTGCCATGGAAAACCGAGAAGCACAGTAAGAAGGACTCTTGTTGTTTTTATAATTTTTTTTTATTTATAGTAAAGCCACATGAGTGGAGTGGAATTTTGGCCAGTTTTTCTCCATCTCAAGCATCATGAATCAGCAGTCCCGCTACCATTGTGCTTTTTTACTTGTGCATCTTGCAGGCTGTACTCTGCAGAGGTTGACAAGTCATGTGACATGAATGAGGCTCTGGGAATGGGAATTGCAGTGTTTCAGGGGCTGTCAAACATCGTCCTGAACTGTAAGTGAGATAAAGCAAGTGCTGGGAATGCTCAAAATAACTCAGAAGTGTGTGAATTATGTTATTGGTAGATCAGCTGAGAGCTGAGAATAAGGCATGACCATAAGAAATAACAAATAAATGGATACAATCTTAAAATGAATGGCCAGTGGACAATAACCGACTCTTACAAACAATGCTTTTCAAATAGTTAATGAGAAGAACATGGTGTAGTTCTTGAGTCTTTGAATCTTGAGCTCTAGATGAGCTGACTTGGCCATTATAACTTGTCATTTTTTAAAACAAAATATGCTGGTATGTTCTGTCAGGTTTTCTTTTGATACTATAAATAAATATTTTTAATTATACAGTATCTCTCTGTCTTTGTGACTATATTTCTTTCTTTTAATCTTGCTATTACTCTGATAATCAACATTGTTAATATTTGTCCTATATTACTCTACTGTGGCATCTGCTGATGTTTGCCTTTTTACACTATTTGGTTTGTGATGAGTATGATCACAGGCTTACAGTGGTGCAGAAATAAAATGATGCCAAATGGTCACAAAATCTGTACTTCAGGACAGTGGCCAATCTAGAAGGTACTGTAGATAGCTCTAAATAAACCATCTAAGCAGTTTATATAACCATTATACATTGGTAGGTTAAAAACCAATGGTCACCATCCAAAGAGGAATTACAATGTCATCAAAAAAATTAAACGTAATCAAAAAATGTCTCATTTAGTAACCTGCTCTCATTTTGTGTCAGGCATTGTGCTTGGCACCATTTTTGCAGGTGGGGCCTTAATGGCTGGTGATGAGATGACCCCTGGCGATCTCATGTCTTTTCTGGTTGCTTCGCAAACAGTGCAGAGGTTAGCTGGCCTCCTAAGGTCCTCTTTCCTAACTTGATCAATATTATTA